CCTAGCCTCTCCCCTTGGCTCAGGAAGGGTTTCCACATGCTGCCTGCTGTCTCTGTCCTGCAGGTGGATGTCCTGTCTGTGTGGCCAGCATCCACTCATCCTTCCCTCTTCATTGTCATGCTCAGCTCTACCAGATTCCCAAAGACTCATGCCTCTAAGCAGCCTGGTTTTCTCAACAAATAAACTACATGAAAATAGAGACAAATGCAGTATGTAAACCTTGTTCGAAGCCTAATTTTAACCAATTAACAAGGGGGTAGGGGGAGTGAGACAATTGGGGAGATTTGGACAATGGATACTGAATTAAAAATTATTCATTTTTTGGAGTAATAAAAGTATTGTGGTTATATTTTTAAAAAGTCTTCTTTTGGAGAAATGTATTAAAGCTTTCTGGAGGAATCAATATAGTGTCTAGGATCTGCTTTTAAATACCCCAAATGTGGGGTGTGTGGATGGCACAGCATTTGACCTTGGGGTATGTGGATGGCAGAGCATGTGACCTTGAATTGATAACTCTTCAGGTTGGATGGTGGGTTCATTATATTTTCCCCTTGACTTTTATGTTTGATAATTTCCATAATGAGCACATTTAAAAAAGTAAGTAATCCTGTAAGTCAAGTATTTTTATCCAGATAAATGTTGGTTTTCCAGAGTGGCTCTTTTTCCGAAAATTCTGGATAGCTGAGGTTTATGGAAGTAAGTTCTTGGTAGGATTCAGTTACTGAAGCTCTGCAGATTAATTAAAATCAAGGCAGTAAATGGGAAAATTTAGGACATGCTAAAAGCCACACTTCATTTCTCACACTGAATCCTCAGATACCTTCACTCAGATTTCTCCTGCACCTCAGTCAAGCTGTGGAAAGCTCGGGCCCACCCGGGTCCTGCTTCTTCACTTCCCATTGATCTTCTCAGTTGCTGCCCCTGCCACCCATCGGGTAAAAACTGCTCCAACAGGCCTGTTCTCTGTGCTTAGTGGATACTCCTTAACCAGTCTCTGCAGTGTGAAATGCTATGGGTATCCATCCCCAATGCCCAGCCCTGCCCAAGGCTCCCTGCTTCCCCCTCGCTCCCTCCTCTCCCCGCCCCCTCCCGCCCCAGCTTCCTGGCTGCCCTGGTGCTCCTTTGCCACTGCTTTGCCTCACCAGCCCTTCCACCGGGCATCTCTCCTCACTCCCCACATGCTCCCTGGCGAGCTTGTCCATGCCTATGGCTACAAGCACTACAGCTGTGCCATGATCCTCAAATCTCCACTTTCAGCTCATCTTCTCCTAGAGTATCAAACCCGAATAAATGTCCAACTCTGCAGGGAACAACTCTGCTTGGATGGCCCCAGGTGACATGTCCAAACCAAATTCCTCTTCCCCACCCCTCAGCCATCCTCTTCTGTGGCGGGGGTCTTGTGGGTGGCACTCTGACCTTATGGAGCCAGAGACTGGAACCCCCAGATCCCTTCTGTTTCCTCCTCTCTCACCCATCAGCAAGCTCTTCCCCTCTCCCACTCCTGTCCCCGAGTCTCTCCAAGCCTCGGCTCCTTATTTGTAAAATGAAAATAATAGTATCTCCAAGAGCTGTTTGGAGGGTTACATGAGAGTCACACCTACCTACTGTGCTTAGAACAGGGCCTGGCAGACAGCGAATGCTCAGGTGAGTGAAACACCAGCTGTGTTCCTCTTCCTCTCCACCTCCTGCTGGCTCCCCCAGCCCAGGACACCACCAATCACCTGTATGGCTGCCTGCAACCTCCCCACTTGTCTCCCCAAGGCCAGATGGTAGTCAGAAGGATGTTTCTAAACTAAGATCTGACAATGTCATTCCTCTGTCCTAAACCCTGCATTGGTCCTGGTCATCTCTGCATAAAGCTAAACTCCTGGGGGACCTGCAAAACCAGGTGGGGCTGGGCTATTTCTCTTTAGCCTCACTTGCTCCCAAACCGCACCCAGGGCACCTTTGCCCAAGCCACACCTGAGCACCTCCCCACCTTTGCTAGGCCATACACTGTCTTTACCAGACACTCGTGCTCTCGGTCCCTGCTTGTCCTTGAAGTGTCGGAGAAGCTGCTCCCCACCTCCCCGCTCCTCTGTCTCACGGGCTTGTTGTGGGCTGTTGGAAACCTCTACCAGATTCTGGGCACAAAACTGAGTCTTGAGTGAGGTCCCTACCAGTCCATAAGGTCCTGGAGGGAGAGAAGTATGTCTTGCTCATCTATGATGAGCCAATGGCCAGCACAGAGCAGAAAAGGATGAGAGAAAAGAAAGGAGAAAAAAACCCTATAAACCAAGTGAGGGGAAGAGGAAAATAAATGAAGCTCACATGCCAACAAGTAGAAAGAATAGGAACATCTGGCTACCTGAGCCTGCCTCCCCTCAGGGCCCATCAGCTGGACCCTTTCTCTTACTCCCAATTGTGTTAGGGTGCCTGCCTGGCCCCTCTTATTACTAGCACCATTTCATTTCTGAACCAAGCTGGGTTGGAGCAGCTAGTGAGAGCCCATTGTCAAAATCCCCTAGATCACGGTAGCAACCGCTATAAATCAGAGCTCCCACCCACTCTTGCCCCCACCTCGTGACTCCCTCCCCAGGACAGTCCCTCCCCTGGCAGGCCCATTGCACTCAGCCCTTCCATCACTGTGTGTTTCTCTCATAGCACTTATCAGTTTTGTAATTTAACTTTGTTTTTGCTGTTAATCCTCATCTGAGGATACTTTTCCCATTGATTTTTAGAGAGTGCAAGGGAGAAGGTAGAAAATAGAGAAATAAACATCAATGTGAGAAACACATTGACTGGTTGGTGCCTGCACACACCCTGACCAGGCCAGGATCGAATCTATAAACCAGGTACATGCCCTTCAACCCTTTGGTGTCTGGGCTGATGCTCTAACCACTGAGTCCACTGGCCAGAACTGTACCTGTCTTTGTGATTGTTTTCCTAACTGAACTCCACAGGGTCTTAGCTCACTACTGAACTCCAGTTTTAACACACAACAGGTTTTCAAATATTTGTGGTTGAATGGTCTAGTTTTAGAAAAATGAGAGGCTAGCCGGAACTGGTTTGGCTCTGTGGATAGAGCGTCGGCCTGCAGATTGAAAGGTCCCAGGTTCGATTCCGGTCAAGGGCATGTACCTTGGTTGCGGGCACATCCCTGGTAGGGGGTGTACAGGAGGCGGCTGATTGATGTTTCTCTCTCATCGATGTTTCTGACTTTCTATCCCTCTCACTTCCTCTCTGTAAAAAAAAAAAAAAAAAAAAAAAAAAAAAAAAAAAAATCAATAAAATATATTAAAAAAAATAAAATAAAAATAAAAATGAGAGGATAGACTGGTGGAGGCAAGGAGGCTGCTGTGCTGGGCCAGGGTGGGAGATGACGTTGGCTGGATGGCAGTGCAGGCACAGGTACATTGCAGTCACCTGCCTGGAGCTCTGGCAGGCGTTGCTCAGTGGTTAGAGCATAGTACCTGCCCTGCACTACAAGGCGTCAGGTTCCATTCCCGTCAGAGGTTTTAGGTTTGAGCTGTGGTCGGGCCCTTACGAGAAGCAGCTGACTGATGTTTCTCTCTCTCACTGATGTTTCTTTCTCTGTCCCTCTTCCCTCTCTAAAATAAACTTTAGAAAAAGAAAAAAAGAACTGCCTGGTGTCAGGCCTTGGTGACTGGAGCAGGAAGGGTCAGAAACCCAATTGGACAGGACACCCCCCGCCTGTCTCAGCGAGTGAAGTGAGCCGCCCCTGTCCCTCAGAGGTTCTGCACTACTGCCCCGGGAACCTGAGAGGAAGACCATATCCTGGCTGGTCCTCATTCCCCACCTGTGTCCCCTAGAGGCGCTCACATTTGCATACTCAGGCCTGGGGCTGGGCAGTGCTTATATCTCAGGTGAACCAGAAGAACCACCAGCAGCTCAGAGCCTCCCTCCCCTCCCGCTCCAGAGTCAACAGCTCGTCTGAGAGATTTTCTTTGCCTCCTACCAGGGAGACCCCATCTGTAGCTGGTCAGGCTGGCACCCCCCACCCCCGCCCCTATCCCCATGCTTGGTTCCAGCCTCCCGTGTGCTGATGGCTTGAACACAGCAGGAGAGACAGCCAGTACACCAGGCATTACCCTGAGGACAGGGCCCCAGAGCTCAGATGGTCCCAGGGCCAAGCCTGGGGCTATAGCAGAATGGGGGGAGGGCAGTGGTGAGAGCTCCCACGGCAGACACAGGACACTCACGGGTGCAGCTTACACAAAGCGGCGGCCACTGCTTCCGGCCGTGCTCCCACCCCTCCACTCACAGGGCAAGCACAGCCCCACTCACAGAGACAGGGGGATGGACGAGATGGCATGGGGATAGGGGATGGGGGTAGGCAGGCTCAGGGAGGAAGCGCCGAGGCCGGGCAGTGGTGTCCTCATGGAGTGATTTATTACAATTCTATCTCACAAGGCAGGCGGCAGCAGCACACACGAACTCCAAGCCCCTGACAGACGTCCGCCTCGGGCGCATGCAAACAGTGCAACAGGGTCAAGCGCAAACACAGGGCGACCGAGGCGACACAGAACGGGAACAAGGCTGGGGCGATGGGTCCCTGGAGAGAGGGGCCTGTTTTCCCAACCCTAGGCAGGACAGGAAAAATAAGATTCGTACTTCTTGTAAAATGCCCATTTCCTGGGTACTTTCTTTCTCCTTATCGTGAAAAATAATAAAAAATAAACACATGGAAAAGAACCTCAAAAAAGTAAAGGAATAAAACTCTAGGACGGTGAGAGGTGGGAAGCCAGGGAAGCCTGACCACGGTGGGCATCTGCCTCTTGCTCCTCACCCTCCTCTTCTTGGCCGTCAGCAGAATCCCCCAAATCCCACAGGTGGGTCCATGAGAGGTGCTGGGCCTAGGCGGGGTCCCTGAGGGGGACCGGGGGGCACAGGCTGGGACAGAGGAAAGAGGTCCACTGGGCTCAGTTCAGGCTTAGGCCCAGCAAGTAGGGGCGCGAGGTCCAGTCCCCAGAGGCCCATGACCTGTGCGAGCCCAGGCGTCACAGGTGCAGCTCATGGGTTTTGATGCGCTCGAGCTGCTCTCGGAGCTGCAGGAAGGAGGGCCGTGTGGCGGCGTCCAGCTGCCAGCAGTTCTTCATCACCTCGTAGACTGCCGCCGGGCAGCCGTCAGGGGCATCCATCTTGTAGCCCTTCTCCACCCGAGGGACGACGTCCTTCAGGGGCTGAGGGCAGACGGGTGGCATGAATCTGTGCAGGGCCTAACCCTTGGAGGGGATCCCTACTCAGCACCCTCTCCAGGGGTCCCCTTTTGCTCTGCCCACACCCAGGCCCAGGGAGGCCCCACACCTTGTACCCCATCCTGTCCCACCCCAATGCCCACACTCACAATTCTTGGATAAGGCACTCGCCCAAAGGAGTAGATTTCCCAGAGAAGAATTCCGAAACTCCACACATCAGACTTGGTGGAGAATTTCTGCCATGTGGATGGGAAAAGCTATGTCAGATCCTGGGAATTTGGGGGTAGGGTGACCCAGAACTGCTGTCCCCACTGCTCAGGATATAGGGGGAGGCCCACCTACCTTCTCTCTCAGGGCTTCAGGGGCTGTCCACTTGACTGGCAGCTTGCCCGTGTCCTGGGTGCTGGAGGCCTCCTTGGTGAGGCCGAAGTCGCTGACCTTGGCCACGTTGTCCTCGGACACCAGCACATTTCGGGCGGCCAGGTCCCGATGCACAAAGTTGTTGCCTTCCAGGTATTCCATAGCCTCACACACGTCTCTAGGGGCGAGGCAGCCACGTGTCCCCTCAGATAGGCCTCCCCCAGCAGGGCGGGCCCCGCCCCCAGGGGCTGCTTCACTCACAGTGAGAACTTGAGGAGACAGTCTCCGCCCAGCACCGACCGACCCCGTGACCGAAGATAGTCCACCAAGCTCCCCTGGGACAGGAGAGACAGACCATGGCCCCATGGGTTAGACTTGCCTCTAGCTCTGGGAACAGTGAGCCTGAGGCTGGGTAAAAGGTGACACCAAGGGAGGTGTTAGGAGAGGAACATGGGAGGAGGTGACTTGAATACTAGGTTCTATAGCTGGACACTGCTCAGCATTCTCTTTCAATTCTCATCACTCTGAGGTGAACTTAGTATCTCCGTTTCACAGATGAGAAAATAGAGGCTTACAGGCGATACAATTTGTCCAATGTTGAAGTGAATAAATGATGAGCCAGGACAAAAGCTGAGCTGTAGGGACTTCAAAGCTCAGTTGGAAGGAGGGGACTGAGAGCAGAGCCCCATGGTACAGAGAGGGGCTTGAGGCAGTTGGAAAGCCCAAGTATTCAGCTCCAGCACAGGGGTGACTCTTGGGGCTGGTGCACACCTTGGCCATGTACTCGGTGACGATGTAGAGTCCACCCTTCTCTTCCACAATCACGCCCAGAAGCTGTACCAGGTTGCTATGCCGAAGTTGCCTGGGGCAGGATGAAGTGATGAGAGCCTGCCAAGCCATCTCATCCCTACCTCTCATCGTGAGGGACAGCCTTCCCATACACCCTACCCAACTCACGTCATGACTGAGGCTTCAGCCAGGAAGGCCTGGGCAGTGGCATCGTTCTTAATGCATTTGACAGCAACTTTGTTCCCTCGGTAATCGCCCAGCATCACATCTGTGTGGAGTGTTTGGGGTTATTCCCAGACTCCCCTCAGTCCCTTGGCCCCTCGAAGGGCTCCCAGCTCCTCCTGCTCACCTCCAAACTCCCCCTTCCCAATGGTCTGCAGCAGCTTTAGGTCCTTCATATTCAGCGCCCAACCACCTGATGGAAGGAAAGGGGTCCAGTGAGGGTGTTGAGGCTCGAAGAGAGTTCACAGCAGGAGAGACAGAGGCCGACTGTAGTGTGTGGGTTCCCTGGAAGTCTCCAGAGCACCTGGGATGGGAAGTGCCAAGAAGCCTGGGTAGCAGGAGGCAAGTAGGCAAGTGAGGACTGGGGGTGGGGGTGGCACTCACTGCGGAAGAACTCATCCTGGGCTGCCACTGTGCCCTCCATGACCTTTGGCTTGATGAGCCGAGTGCAGAGTCCATCTGCATCTGAGGTATAGTGCTGCAGGGTACAGGACAGGCCATCATCAGCTGCTCACACACACTGCCCAGATCTGACCACCAGAGGGCGGCAGAGGCTCATACCAACCAGCCCCAACTTGCTTTGGTTGGGGAGGGCTCCCTATTTTTGGCAGCGCTTGTATTAGGGAGGCCCCAGACTGACACATGACCCACTGCCCATGCCACCTCACACCCAGTTGCTGGACAGATCCCTCATTGTTGCTACAACTCTGGTCCTTCCCAGCATTCCCTGACTCAGTCCAGAAACCAGTTTGTAGCCAGGCATGCCCAGGATTCTTCCCTGCCAGAGGCCAAGCCAGACAGGCAGGCGGGAAGAAGCTGAGGGTGAATTCAGGAGGCATCTGGGAGGCTGTCTAGAGCTACATCCCTGAAGGCGCATGAGTCCAGGGGACCCTGGCCGTTAATGCGTTGCTCATGAGGTCATGCTATATACACACACTTGGCCATGTAGTTCTGTAAGTGGCTGGAAGGAAGCTAGTTCTAGGATTCAAATCCTGGCACCTCCAATTTATAGTTATGTGACCTCAGGCAAGTATCTTAACTGCCCTGAACCTGGCCAATGAAATGGGGATAGTGCCCTGGCTGGTGCCATAGCCCAGTTGGCTGAGCGTCATCCCACGCACCAAAAGGTTGCTGGTTTGATTCCTGGTCAGGGCACATGCTCAGATTGTGGCTCGATCCTTGTTAAGGGGTGTGTAGGAGGCAGCCGATCTGTATTCTGTTCTCACAGTGATGCTTCTCTTTCTCTCTCCTTCTCCCTTCCTCTCTCTCCAAACATAAATAAAAATATTCTTAAAAACACAAAACTAGTACTTAAGAAAACAGAAACAAGGTCCTGGCCAATTTTTCTCAGTGGTTAGAGTATCAGCCTGAGGACGGAAGGATCTCAGGTTTGATTCCTGGCCAGGTGCACATACCTCGGCTGCAGGTGCAATTCCTAACCCAATTCCTGGAGTACATGTGGCAGGCAACCAGTCGATGTGTCTCTTTCACATCAATATTTCTCTCTCTCTCTCCCCCTTCTCCCTCCCTGTGGTGGCAATGTGGGATCACAGATCCACCCTGCCACACAGTAAGTGCCATTCAGTTTGCATGACAATCCCAAGGTCACAAAGCCAGAGTGGTGGGACTAGAGCCAACATCCAGGCCTGTGGGTGCTGCAGCTCACCTCCACCAGCTGCATGAGGTTCTCGAAGTACACCTCCTCATCGATGCTGAGCTTGCTGGCGTGGTACATGATACGGTAGTGCTCCACCTTGCCATCGCAACTCACGCACAGCGTGTAGTCACCAGGGTAGTTGGTGCTCTCCCGCACGAGGAACAGGCCTGTCTCTGGTGGGCAGAGAAGCCGTTCTGCCTGCTCCCGTGTGATCTTGCCATGGAACCAACTGGGGGACGGCAGGCCAGGGGTCATGGTGGCCCACGGGTAAGGAGCCTGGTGCCCCTGCCAGCCTCCTCCTGCATCTGCCAGGCTCTACTTTCTGAAGGCCCTCCCTCTGCCCGACCCCCTTCTATCTTCAGGCCTAGACCCATTTTCCCCCTTTGAGGTCCAGCACCCATGCCCTTCCCTCATTTTGAGAAGCCCTCAGGACATTTCAGCCTTTCCTCTGGTCTCCAGTTTTCCTGACTCTTTCCTGGGGGAATCAGGGTTCCTCCTCCTCCCTCCTCTCCAGACTGGGAGAGGATTCCCCTCAGGTACTCACGGCATGAGGCTAAGTTTGGTGCCGACCTTCACGCCCTCCCGCTTTTGGACATAGTTGGCTGGAATGATGCCCTCACGGCCCACCTTGTTCTTGGCTTTGTACCAGTTGGGGTCCTAGGGGAAGGGCAGCCCACACACACTCTCAGGCCCACTCTCCTCTGCAGGGACCCAGGACCCAGAGGGAATGCCCAGAGGTGGGAGAGGGTGGAGGTAGACATGTGAGGTCCCTGATTACCTTGGTGACGGCCACAATGGTGAGCACATCTCCCTTGCAGAAGGGAAGGTCCTGCTCAGCAGTGCCATGGAAGTTGTACTTGGCAATACATTCTGTACCAGATGGCCAGGTGGCCTGCAGGACAGGCAACGAATGGGCAGGTGCAGCCTGGGGCCCCTCTCCACCCACCTACCACAAACCCTCGAGGTCATAACTCTTGGCTGGCATCTGTGGGCCAGGTGAGGTGCCACCTCCCACAAGAACTTTGGGTTCCTTCCAGTTGACCTTCTCCATTGACTGAGACCTGTGCTCCCAGCTTGAGGGCCCTGTGACAGTGGGCCCTGGAATTCTACTTTGTTGAAGGCCAGGGTTAAGACAGAGGGCTGGGAGAAAGGGAAATGAATTGATCTGAAACCCCTTTTCTGCTCAGCATCCCATGGGGGATGGGGATGCTCAACTGCCCAAACCTCGCCCCCACGGTACCTGTATTGCTGACATCTTTTCAGATCTGGCGTCCCCGTGTCACAGGAAGGCCAGCCTGTCACTTGGTACCATGAGAGCTGTGGGGAGAAAGGGGAGATGGAAAATATGAGAATATGCCTCCACCTCCTGCAAGTCACTGAGTTCCCACTCCTTCCCCATAGCAATATAAACAGGTGTCAAAGGCAGCCAGAGCTGGGACTGGGAGTGAGGGGGCCACCAACCCCAGGCCAATAGGGGGCTTACAGACTGACAGAATAGCCAACAGAGGCAAAAGAGGTTCAGGGCTGAGTTGCACCAGTGCCACCTGCCCCACCATCCCCAAGCCTGATGCTAGCTAACTGGTCTGCAGGGGAAGAAGGCCAGGGAAGTTCTGTGAACTGGGGGAAGGTGCTATGTGACTTGGGAAAGTCACCTGTCCTTTGTGGACCTCCTAGTTTCTTTGTCGATAAAATCTTGTCCAGGCAGTATCTTTAAGCCAAGGCTCACCGACTAGAGCTTGGTAATCCCACTTCAAGGCGCACACTCATTAGAAAACAGGGCAGGTGTCCACTGAGTCAGGCACAGGGCACTCACTGCAGCACGATTTGTAATAAGCCTCAAAATGGACAGCTGCCCAGATGCCTCCGAAAAGTCAGATAGTATACCCACGGAACACTGGTAACACTGTGCTGTGACAAACATCAATAAACTACAGCTATGAAACATGGATAAACCTTGAAACATAGTGTTAACCAAGAAATCAGACCTAGACTGAGCACATGCCATGTGATTCCATCATAAATGTTCGAAACTGGCCTAACCTATGGTGTCGGACGGGCCTGCCATGGGGGCAGAAAGGGGCTTCTGGATGCTGGTTGTGTGATTGCGTGAGCCCAGATGGGATGGGTTCACTCTGGCAATTCGCTGAATTGGACCTGGCATAACCTTATAGGGTGCGGGGGCTTCAAATGGCAATGCGAGGAACCAGGGTTTACTTTTGGGGGTTACGGGGCCTCAGCAGCAGAGCATGTAATCTCAGAGACCAGAAGGAGCCAGGGAGGTAGAACCAGGAGAACCACCCACTTCCAGGCCTCACTCCTGGTTCTAGAGTCAGGCAGACCTGGCACTGTCAAGTGTGCAACCTAGGTGAATGACTCACCCCTCTGAGCCTCAGATCCCTCATTCTGAAAAGTAGGGACTGGGAGCCCCTGCAAGCAGGCTGTGGGGGCAATAGAATGAGGCCCTAGACTTCGAAGTGTCTGGCATAACCCCTCACCTCACTTCTCTTCCCCAAAGGTCAGCCTACCAATCTTCATGCCTGACAGGAAGACTGAGGCCCAAGGAAGATGACCCATGATCCCCCACCCCCCAAAACAACTGAGCTGCCTGGGGTATAGAAACCACCCCTGGGCTCTTGTGGTCCACATATTGTGGGAACTGTGAGTTCCTTACCCCCATTTTATGGAAGCAGAAACAAAGGCTCACACGGTTGAAAACAACTTGTCGGAAGTCACACAGTCCAGACCTTGAATTGGAGCCCCCAACCTCAGGCCCTTTTAAATAGGCACTCTGCTTACTCTCCACATCCCACCCCTCCCTCTCCCCCCAAAACAGGCCACTGCAGGAGGGCTTTGAGTGTTTGCAAACCTCTCAGCTGTCGGTTTGCAAACACTCTTTTCCCAGCCTGCAGCTGCTGCCGCCTCCCCACTGACTTGATGCTGATAATAAAAATAATAGCAGGCCCTGTTTTCTGAGCACTTATTCTGTGCCAGACCCTGTCTTTGGCACGTTACAGCTTGTCAAGTCCTCTAACAACTGAAAAAAGGGGTACACCATTTTATAGGAGACCCCGAGTGAGACCAAGAGGCAAGGTGGTCACCCTCTCTTCCCCCTGACACCTGAGGGCTCAGATGTCACCCACCTCTGTGCCTCCATGCCTCCCCTGCCCACCATGCCAGGACCACACTGGTCTAGGAGAGAGAATGTAAAGGAGGAGTAGCGAGTGATGCTCAGAGAAGGGACAAGCCCAGGAAGCAGTAATCTGGGTGGCCTTCCTTGAGGGGCCAGACTGGAGAGGGAGGAGCCAGGCTTGGGGAGGGAGGAGCCAAGTTCTCCCCTTTGCTCTACTGGTTGCAACTTGACCACCCAGTGCTCCCATCAGTACAAAGGGTTGGCGATAACCCCATAGCTCCAGTGCTGCTCTGGGACTTGCCAGCTCTCCAGTGCCTCAGTTATGCCTGTTTTCTACCTGCTGTTGCCATGTCCTGCGTTGGCATTGTCTTCCCACTCCCTCCCCTGCTCTATCCAAGAAAATTCCACTCAACTTTCAGGGAGCAGAGGAAATGCTTTGGTTGGATTTGTGCCTAAAAAATGTAGTGTGACAGTCCACACAGTACTGTTTGTAGCAGCAAGAGATTGGGAGACATCTTTTTTTTTTTTTTTTTTAAATCAATCTTTATTGTTCATATTATTACAAAGGTTCCTCATTTCTTCCCCCCTCCACCAGGTTCCCACCCCACCCTCCACCCCCTCCCCACCCCCCATTGTCCTCATCCATAGGTGCACAGTTTATGTTCAGTCTCTTCCTCCCTCCCTTCCCCCCCACCTCCCCAGAACAGTCAGTCCACTCCCCTCCCATAAATGGACACATTGTTTAAACATAGCTGCTGGCTGGAATTGGATTACCTGTTCTGGGTGGGAAGGGCTTGTCATTCCCTTTCTCCATTAAAATTAAGGTGTTAGCTTTAAAACCTCTTTTTGGCAAGAGACTTAAACTTTCAGAACTTTAAATTTTTCAGATAGTAAATCAGTTACTTAGCATTTTCTCAAATCAATAATACCTCCACATGCCCAAGGATACACTTCACACAAAAGACATTTCCCAATAGGTCCACCAGCCTCATCCAGGCCCCACCCAAGGCACTCACAGATAAACACCCCAGCGCTATACTAACTCAACACATCCAGATCTAAGCCTTCATCACTTGATTCAGCAGAACCCTCAAGTTCCCCCAAAAGTTTCCAGCCATGTCTGAGAGGCAGCCTTGGGGCGGGGCAGGCGAGGAGAGAGCTGTTCCGGGCCTGGCTGCTTCGGGCCTGGCCTCTGTTGCTCTGGTCCGTTCCACAACCAGCTGCTCCACAACCACTGCCGCTCCCGACCTGGCTGCTCCGGGAGTGGCTGATGCTGCTCCGGGCCTGGCCGCACCCGACCTGGCTGCTCTGGGCCCGGCCACTCTGGGCTTGGCGACTCCCAGCCTGGCTGCTGCTGCTCCGGGCCTGGCCGTGGGAGACATCTTTTTATGTCCATTAATAAGGGGCCAAGTAAATAAATGACCAGGTATCCCTAAAAAGGGAACAACATATTCCAGCTAATGGGGCCAGAACAGATCTGTAGCTGCTGATACACAACACTCTTCATGACAGAGTAAAGAGAAATGGCAAAAGCCAACCCAAGTCATTAAAGGAAAAGCTCCTGGACAGTTTCCAAATACCAGCCCACCGATTAATGAGAAGATGAAAAAGCACCTTCACAACAGAAAGATCTGGCAGACGTCTTCCTAACCAAATGGTCAAATTAAGGATCACCAACAATAAGAGAAGCAACGAGTGCCTCCTGCTATGATGCTGAGAAGGACAGACTCTGATGTAGTATCTGCAGAGCTGTTGAACCTGACTCACTCAGGAGGATGCTAGCAGGTGGAACCTAAATAATTGGCCTGGACTTTTTTTTTTTCTTAAATGTATTTTTATTGATTTCAGAGAGGAAAGGAGAGAAGGAGGGGGAGAGAAACATCAATAGTGAGAGAGAATCATTAATCAGCTGCCTCTTGCATGCCCCCTACTGGAGATCGGGCCGCTATGTGTCCTGGCTATGTGTCCTGACTGGGAATCGAACCCCGACTTTCGGTCAGGGTTGGCCTGGACTCTTAAAGTCAATGTCATAAAAGACAAAACAAACGAAGGCTGGGGAATGTTTCAGATTAAATAAGATAGGAAAGAAACAGGATAAAACAAAAAAATGATAATTATGTGAGGTGAAGGGTGTGTTAACTAACCATATTTTGGTAACTTTTTGCAATATATATAAGTATCCAATCATTACATTGAACACCTTAAACTTTCAATGTTATATGTCAATAAAGCTGGGGGGGGTAAAGAAAGGGGACAATATTATAGCTATAGGAATCATTACAGAACAATTGGGAAAATTGAAATGTTCAACAACATAAGTGTGACCATGGTACTGAGATTATTATGTTAGAGATCCACACTAAAATACTTCAAAGTAAGCCCTGGCTGGGAAGCTCAGTTGGTTAGTGTTGTCCCAAAATGCCAAGGTTGGCAGTTTGATCCTTGGTTGGGGCACATACAAGAATCAACCAATGAGCCTGGCTGGTATAGCTTAGTTGGTTGGAGCATAGTCCTATACACCAGAGGGTGGTGGGTTTGATCCTGGTCAGGGCACTTACCTAGGTTTTGGGTATGACCCTTGTTGGGGCACATACAAGAGGCAACTGATAGATGTTTCTCTTACATCGATATTTCTCTTTCCCTTCCTTTCTCTAAGTTTCAATAAAAAATTTAAAATATCAACCAATGAATGCATAAATAAGTGGAACAACAAATGGACGTCTCTCTAAAAATCAAATAAGCCCTGGCTGGTAAGGCTCAGTAGCTGGAATGTTAGCTTGTGCACTGAAGGGTCACAGGTTTGATTCCGGTCAAGGGCACATCCAATCTCCACCTCAGGTTGGGGCACCTGTGGGAGGCAACCAACTGATGTTCACATCATGTTTCTCTCTCTCCCCACCACTCTAAGAATCAATGGGAAAAAATATCCTCACTTCTTGGATGAGGATTAAAATAATGATGATGATGATGATGATGATAATGATAATAAAATAAAAACAGAATACTTTGGAGTAAAGGGTATGATGCCTGCAACTAACACTCAAATATGTCAGCAAAAAAAAAAATACATATGTACACGTGTCTATGTATATAAAAGAGGCAAAGCAAATGTGGCAAAATGTTTA